ATGCAACAATACCAATTCCACAGGTGAGATCATCAAGCCTGATTAAACCTCCACTAAAGGGATTTGTTAGGGCTGTGTAAAATTCTATCGAAGATGGCACGTTACCTGAAAGATGAATGGAAGGGTTTGATCCACAAGCTTACAAGCTTCTAACCAAGTCAGGTTATGACTTTGTTGATCCTTCATCACTACGAGAGTTAAGTCTTGAACTTACCGGTGAAAAAGTTCACGGTCTCAACGAAACTCAGAAAAAGTTAAGGCAACAAGGGTATGGGGTGAGCCACCCCAAAGATTGGAGTTGGATTCATGCCAGCTAAACCCATTCGTATCTCTACCAAAAGAAAAGGGAAGAAGGAAGACGTACAACATATCACTGTGGAAGAAGTGAAGGAAGACAAAAGTCCAAACCCAACTCCTCGAGTCTTAGTGTTTGACTGCATTGAAGCTCCTGCGCCTTGAACCTCGGTTTTTAATAGATGAAGGTACAACTTCTCAACGTTCAATTTTTAACAAATTAGGCACTACTAAGGAAGGGGATGAAAAACAAACTTCCTGGTCACGAAAGTCCGTTTTTGCTCGACTTGGTAATATGAATACATCACCTAGAAAAGGCAAAAAATTTTGGAGTTTCCAATTTTGGAGTTTCCAAAATTAACCCTCTCCCCCTAAGCCTATAAATAGGGGCTCTCATTAGGGGAAAATGGGACACATTTTTTGGCTAATAGTCTTGTAAGCTCCTAAGCAATCTCGAGACTCTGCCGAATTTTCTTCTTAAAATTCTCTCTAAAATTCCTCAAACTCAAAAGAAAGGATAATCAAGCGCTCCAAACTTGTGCCAATCCTTTCAAGTTGTCTCTCTTTTCAAGGAGATTATTTCAAGATTCGTTCGAGATCAAACCATTCAAGCCCTCGATCAAACCTTTCTTCTCCAAGTTTCTCCATTCGAAGACTTGAAGAAATTCATCAACTTGTCTAGTTCAACAACAAGCTTTTACAATCGTTGAATTATGCTCATTTCAGATATCGAATCAGAGGATTTATTTTTTTGTAATAAAGCAAACCACAGAAGATTGTACCCATTTATTATAATCAATAAAATTAATTATTTGTGCATATATTACGTGTCTTAAGGGTATGTTTTTCAACTTTCATAATTCCATGAAATGAGGCAAATTAAAAAAATATATATCCTAGAGAATTAATGCATGTACTATGGACATCTAACAATGTAAAGAAATCTAGAATAAATCAGGATTTATCTGATCAGTAAATCACACCACAGTCTAAACTCTTTAAAAACTATTTTTTGCCTTCCCATAGAGAAAGCATCAATCTTCAAATTTCACAATATGGAGAGCATCTCTAAACAATCACGAACATGAAAAATCTTCTATCAGGGTAGGCATCGACAAATCTTCTTCTTGTTTGTTTTCATAAATCAGCTTCAATTTAAAATAGGATGCCCTGTGATTACAACCTAGGAGCCGAGTTGCTGCTAAACTACAATACAAAGGCCAAAAAAGTGTCAAGAAACAGTTACAAGTCCTTGTTTATATAGATTCATATATAAACAGTTGAAGAGAGAATCAATCTTAAATGTTAGATATTTTAATGGAATAATTTAAGTTATTACTAGTGTGATTCATGACTGCATCAATGATCTATCTTGCACGCCACAACCAACTGTGATTTTGGAATCAAATCTAATTTATAGTTAAGTTAACCTAACAATTTTTTCAATCAAGTCCAAATCCAATTAGCTACATGTAAAATGTGATATCTGTTGTTGAAGAAGCTGCAAGCAGTGTAGCATTCCGATGGGCTTAATTTTTCTCTTATCAAGAAGATTTGGAGCATCATTAAAAAAGATGTTATGGTCTTTGTCTTAGGAAATTTACAAGAATGAGAAAATTGTAAATGGCCTTAACGCTACATTCATTGCCTTAAATCCTAAGGTTGAAAGAGATTCATGCTTTGAGGAGTCCAATCCCATTTAGTATATATGGTAGGATTTATTTGCAAAATATTATCCAAGATGTAATCAATCAGATTAAAGAAGGTACTTTCAGAAGTTATTAGTGAACCACAAGCTTCCTTTGTGGGATAGTGTTTAAAACTGATTTTAAAAAAGGCTTATGATGGTGTTAATTAGCCTTTTTCCTTATTGGATATGCTTGACATGTGTCTCGTGTGTGTCCATTGGTACTAGGGTTGGGTGACTTGAGAAAAGACTGACATACCTAGGCAATCAAAAGCAAAGACCCAATAATCAATCATGGGGAATTTTATTTATTTTATTTTATTTTTTAAAAAAAGATCGCTAAATATGTTTGTCCTCCAATGGATTGGGAACATTTCTAATTCTGAAAAAAAGGAATTACAGCCGAAAAATGTGTCACCTATTTTACCATAATGCTAACGAGGTCATCATTCGAGAAACTGTTGCTATTATTATGATGGCTATTGATTTGTCTTTCTGTATTCTCAAAGTGATATCGATGCCGCACAAACTACGCTTTCCGGATTGAGTCAATTGGTTCTTCTTTTGCTTTGAGATTAGCTACATTTTTTCCTTCATGTTGCCCTGAAATCAGAAAACAACAGAATGATGAAGCTCTATAAAACTCAAAATTGTTTACTCGGTACATATATATGTAGCTGACTTAATATCCATACCAAGTAAAAGAATAATAAAAACAAAGCAAAGACAGTGTCTACTGAAACTCCATCAATCAAAAATTTATTAAACGAAGAAACCTTTTGTTTTAAGTGGACATATAGTGAAATCTGCTCTCAAATTGAAGTGTAATAATTGATATAACATTCTTATTTTATGCTCTGAAAGCTTGAAATTCTGTCAATTTATAGAATTATTTCAATTTTGGTTTCATTGATATAGGAGCGGAAAAAGAACAAATTAGCAAAATACTAAAAACCAAACAGAATTCAATGATATTGGGGAACGAAAATAAAAAGAAATATACCAACAGAAAGATAAAGAAAGGATAACTAACATGGAAGCAGCGTGGCAAGAGAATCCGGCTGAGAAATTGGATTCAATTGATTTGAAGCATCTCCAAGCATTTGAATAGGAACACTGCCAAGGTTGAAGGCTGCAGGAGGACATGAATAATGCCCAAAGCCGACAGGCATACTGCTTGGACCAGATTGTCTTGTGTTAAAGCTAGAAAGCTGAGAAGAAAACATCTTGACATTGTCATCAAACATCCTTGTTCTCGAATTAGTAGAGTGAAACCTCATCCCACTCAATTCATGATGGGGAGATGGATTTGCAGCAAAAAATGGAGATGGAGGGACACTTCCAAGCACAGTTGGGAGCATTTGATTTGCCACTACTTTGGGTGGTAGTTGGTTTTGTTGGAGGAGTTTTGCATTTGATGTAGAAGCACCAAATGTTTGAAGTCGGCTACCAAATGAGGTGATCCCAGTACTCATGTATTGTTCTGCAAATCTGTTGTGATGATTGATGGTGTTTAGGCCTTGATTAATACAAGATGTGGTGATTGTATTGGATAGAAGCCCATTTGTTTTGTTTGAATTGATATTGTTCTCGCTTTCTTGGCTCATTTGAGCTTTTGTGTTCTCCTTCCTTAAGGCATTTCTGTACTTCTGCAATCAAGAAAAAGGAGTATCAAAAAACAAACAATTAAAGAATCACAGTTTAGTTTCACTTGCATTACATATCTGACTAGTCCATGATGCAGGATATAGAAAACAAAGGACTTATAGCCCAGAATGCCATGTTGGAAGCTTGATGGAAAGACTAAACTCACCCGAAGGTGGTTAGCAACACTTTCTTGAGAGATCATCGGTTCATTCATGATTTGGAGTATCTCCTTTGCAACTGCTTCTGCAAAGGTACAAAACCACAGACCCAATAATGTTAGGATACACCCCAATACATACTTTTACCTTTGTCATTTTTGTGTGATATTAGCAACTAAGCTAGTGCAAGGAGCAACGTTTTACATAGTGGTATCGAAAGACGATTAAGTATGGATTACAGTGTAACCTTATTGGAAGTATCAAGCCATATGTATTGGGAATCAATCTGGTGTAAATTTTTTAAGCTTGTAAAATAAAATAAAATGAAGATCCAAGACTTACTATCATTAGCTACATTTTTTCCTTCATGTTGCCCTGAAATCAGAAAACAACAGAATGATGAAGCTCTATAAAACTCAAAATTGTTTACTCGGTACATATATATGTAGCTGACTTAATATCCATACCAAGTAAAAGAATAATAAAAACAAAGCAAAGACAGTGTCTACTGAAACTCCATCAATCAAAAATTTATTAAACGAAGAAACCTTTTGTTTTAAGTGGACATATAGTGAAATCTGCTCTCAAATTGAAGTGTAATAATTGATATAACATTCTTATTTTATGCTCTGAAAGCTTGAAATTCTGTCAATTTATAGAATTATTTCAATTTTGGTTTCATTGATATAGGAGCGGAAAAAGAACAAATTAGCAAAATACTAAAAACCAAACAGAATTCAATGATATTGGGGAACGAAAATAAAAAGAAATATACCAACAGAAAGATAAAGAAAGGATAACTAACATGGAAGCAGCGTGGCAAGAGAATCAGGCTGAGAAATTGGATTCAATTGATTTGAAGCATCTCCAAGCATTTGAATAGGAACACTGCCAAGGTTGAAGGCTGCAGGAGGACATGAATAATGCCCAAAGCCAACAGGCATACTGCTTGGACCAGATTGTCCTATGTTAAAGATAGAAAGCTGAGAAGAAGACATCTTGACATTGTCATCAAACATCTTTGTTCTCGAATTAGTAGAGTGAAACCTCATCCCACTCAATTCATGATGGGGAGATGGATTTGCGGCAAAAAATGGAGATGGAGGGACACTTCCAAGCACGGTTGGGAGCATTTGATTTGCCACTACTTTGGGTGGTAGTTGGTTTTGTTAGAGGAGTTTTGCATTTGATGTAGAAGCACCAAATGTTTGAAGTCAGCTACCAAATGAGGTGATCCCAGTACTCATGTATTGTTCTGCAAATCTGTTGTGATGATTGATGGTGTTTAGGCCTTGATTAATACAAGATGTGGTGATTGTATTGGATAGAAGCCCGTTTGTTTTGTTTGAATTGATATTGTTCTTGCTTTCTTGGCTCATTTTAGCTTTTGTGTTCTCCTTCCTTAAGGCATTTCTGTACTTCTGCAATCAAGAAAAAGGAGTATCAAAAAACAAACAATTAAAGAATCACAGTTTAGTTTCACTTGCATTACATATCTGACTAGTCCATGATGCAGGATATAGCAAACAGAGGACTCAAAACCTAGAATGCCATCTTGGAAGCTTGATGGAAGGACCAAACTCACCTGAAGGTGGCTAGCAACACTTTGTCGAGAGATCTCCGGTTCATTCATGATGTCGAGTATCTTCTTTGGAACTGCTTCTGCAAAGGAACAAAGACACAGACCCAATAATGTTAGGAAACACCCCAATACAAACTTTTACCTTTGTCATGTTTGTGTGATATTAGCAGCTAAGCTATTGCAAGTAGCAAGGTTTAACATAGTGGCATCGAAAGACGATTAAGTATGGATTACAGTGTAACCTTATTTGAAGTATCAAGCCATATGTATTGGGAATCAATCAGGTGTAAATTTTTTAAGCTTGTAAAATAAAATAAAATGAAGATCCAAGACTTACTATCTACTCCTAGCTGCCGAACAGCATCGACAAACTTGCTATGCAACACTGCAGTCCAACTAACCCTCTTTGAAGATGGAATTGGGGGGTTTTGATCTGTTCCTGCCTGCACGGTGCCAGATTTCGTTGTATTAAATAGATTTTTCCGGACCACATGCTGCCAAATATTCTTCACTTCTTCCAACCGAACTGGCTTTATCAGGTAATCTCGAGCTCCATGCCTTACCCCCTTCATTACCGATTCTTTGTCATCGTTTGCAGACATCACTGCAATTCCAAACTTATGTTTAAGATTTAATCTCATCCAAGTTAATGTATACTGATTAAGAAATGATGAGCTTACTTATTACTGGCATGTCCATTTCAAGGCCTATTATCTCCAAAAGTTCGAAACCATTCATATCAAGCATTACAACATCAGTAATCACAATATCATAGCTTTTTTTGTTCTTCCTCAGCATTTTAAGAGCTTTTGTAGCTTTTGTTGTCGCCGTAACTGCATACATATCAAAATGCATAAAAGTTTGGAATAAATAGGCCTAACAGTTCAATGACCCTTTCAATAGTCAAGATTTCTGTATCTCTGCTCTCTAGAGTAAGGAATGTAGTTTTAGAGAAAATTCTATGAAACAGTGCATTAAATTCAATTTGTTTGGCTTTATATGTTTTGATTGAACTCCCTCTGAAAATTTGTGAGAGTAACTACATAAAAATATTGGACTATGAATCTTGATTCATAGGGAAGGCATGATCTTCCGCCTAATCCCAAACTGTAAAATTCAAATTCATTTTGTGTTTTTATAACCGAGAAATTGCCAGACCCACAATAATTGTCAATTTATTTTATTTTATTTTATTTTATTTTTTGGGTGGGGGGACTCTAGTTTGACCATTGTAATAAAATAAACATTATTTTTTAATTTTATTAATTTAAATCATAAATTTTTTATTTCTTTTTCAATCTAAACCATTTACCTCCTTATTTCCGATAAGTAAAATCAACGAAATATATGATATTTTAGTCATTAAAATCAACAAAAAAAGTGTTTTAGATATTTTATGTACACATGTATTGAATTTAATGACTAAAATACTATTTTTTCATCCGTTTACCTAACAAAATAAGTTGATAGTTTAAATTAAAAACAAATTAAATTTTAAAATTTAAATTGACAAAATTAAAAATTCAGATTCTATTGTAATTTTCTTAAAATTTTAATATCCGACAATTTAGTAACATTATACTTACTTGGCTGTTGCCTTTAAAAATAAAGAGAGAAAAATGGAACAATTGCACCAAGTCGTTTTTTTTTTTTTTTTGAAACAACAAAAAAACACTTTATTTATAATAAACAAGCAACAATACATTGACATCAAACAATAAAAGTAGAGGATGCCGAGAACATCATAGCAAAGATACAACAAAAATGCTTTAACTCCATTATGTTCACAAACCCAAACTAGCAAAATCATTTTAAAAAACAGAAGAAGAAAAATTACAATCAACCTAATAAGATGTCCACAATTAATTCATAAATTTTACAATTCAAAGTTATCAATTTATGTAACTATTGTAGTTATGTTACGCACAATGTATACATTAAAAATTAAGAATCACATGTATACATTTAAAATTCAAAGAAAAAAGCCTAAGAATCATATTCTATAAGTACTCTCTACATAAATTTTCATATCCTCAAGAATTATGAACTTGTTCGAATAATAAACCAAACCCTATTTGTGATCTTCAAGCATATAAGTCTCTCTATATATATATATTGGGATTGAGAATAGAAACCTTTATAGCGACACTTGTTGAGAAGAGCAGCAACAAGTTTGAGGCAGACAGCGTTGTCATCAACCACAAGAACACTCAAACCCTCCGGAAAGTTGGCATTCACTCTGCTTTGCGGTGGTGCCGCCCGGTTCAGACTCGCATGAACAGCCTCAATCTTTGACATAATGAAAACACTTTTATTATTATTATTCGAAGATCACTAGCAATTTGCAAAGTGGGTTTTGTTTTGGTTCTCCCTTAGGATATCACTAGGATTTTCTCGGGAAAATCAAGCGGGAAAATCAAGCTCCATGAAAAAGTTTATCAAGAGGGAAAGGAATGTAGGAGAAGCAACTGTAAGAGAGATCACTATATATAATTGGGGAGAGGATGTCGAAGTATGTGGAAAGAACGGAGAAACTGAAACGTTACTAACTCACTCAAATCAAAACTGAAACGCGTCTTCAATTAGTAAATCAAATCAAATCAAAACTTAAATTTCATTCACCTTTAAATCTCAAATCAAAGTGGGAAAATATTGAGTTTCCATAAGTGGAGTTTCCTCGTAATACAGGCAATAAGTGTGTGCACTAGAGCGTCACTTGCTTGTGGCTTAATTAAGAAAGTCTCATCTACGGGTTGGTTCCAGAGCAAACAGAACCGGATCCAATAAGCCTATGAATTTTTCTTTTTCTTTTTTTTTTTTGGGACAAATTACTCCGGTGGTTCTTCTAAATTTTTTTGCATCAATTTTGATCTTAAATTTTTCATATAATGTCAATCTAATCCGATTGGTAATGTTATTTTAGAAATTGAACTAAAATCGATGATCAAAATGATTATTTACTATTCCTAAAATAATTGAGAGGTTAGTATCTAATTTAAAATAATCTATTTCCTTTTGATTTAATATTTTATCATTGATTTTTGTCAAAATTCTTAACAAATATTATCAATTCAATTAAATTAAGACTATAAAAATTAAAAAGTAAAATTGACACAATTACAACGGCAAAAACTAAATTGACATTAAAAATTGATTAAAATTTCAATACATTAATTACTTCATTACAAATGTTGACGTGTAAGCCCTGGGCGCCACATGCAACACTGTGGTGTCAATTGAGTTCATTCACCTTTAAAAAGTTATTAATTCTTTAATAGGGTTAATTACACTTAGAGTCTTCAATTATTAAATCAAATCAAATCAAATCAAGACTTAAATTTTATTAAATGAGATTAGTTATATGAATCTTTTTTATTTACTTGACTCAATCAATGATTATTTAGTTAGTCAAATTACGGAGATTCAGATATCTATTTATTACACTCGTACATGTCAATCTAGCCCTGCCCCTTTCCATAACACCTCTATTTATCGTCACTGTATCACATCTTTTCGCTACTACGTTGTTAATCGTTGTATATAACCAAACCATCTCAATATATTCTCTCTCAACTTATCTTCTATCAATTCTACTACGGCTGGGCATAGGGTTATCCAATCCTCAAAAACTGCCAAACCCGAACTGCCCGCATCTATTTGAGCGGTTTCACAGAATCGTTAGGGTCGGATGTAGGTTAGGATTTTTCTATTTTGCGAGTTGCGTGTAGGTCGCTAGTTTTACTCGCACCCGCACTTACTCACCCGCTTCATTATACATTTTTTATTTTTTTTTTTAAATCTGGACCGTCAGATTTTTTTGTAAGTTTTGTAGAAGGGAAAGATAAAGTTGGTGGCAATTTTTTTTTTTATCTTAGAATCTTTCTCAACATTTGAGTTCTCTGTTATCTTTGGACAAAACTTCAAGGTTTGTTTCACAAATTATTTTCTTTGTTTTCTAAACCACAAAACAGGAGTATAAAACCTTTATTTTTTATTTTTCTCTTTCTTCTGCAGAAAATTCTTAGAAAGAGCACTGAGATTTTCTATGAAGATTGAAGGTTAAATAAATTATATAATTTTCATTTTCTATGGAGTTTGCGAGTTTGCAAATGATTTTATTTTATTTTATTTTATTTTATTTAATGGGTTTGGATAAAGTTTGACGACAATTTATTTTGGTTCCTAAGTAGCTATTGTTATTGCATTTTGGTTTTTGGATGAATGTAGAAGTTAATGAAGAATTACTTTTAGGTATGTTTAGGATTTTAAATAATTTTAGTTTAATTGTGTTGTTGGGTACTAGATAGTGAATGAATTTTTAAAGGAAAAACTTCAATCTGCAAATTGTTCGCAATTGCCCATACGTCCGCGAACCCTATCCGCACAAACCGCAACCTGCACTGCGGGTGGTTGCGAATTCAATCTTTTCTAAACCGCAAATATGTAGGTGAGTCTAAACCGCAAACCAAACTGTCAAAAAACGATTTGATAGCACCCCTAGGTGCGATTCCTACCCATTTATGAATATATTCCTCTTATATTTTAACTCTTTAAATTATGAAAATATATTACTTTCAGTCTCTTTAGACCACATTCAAAATAGGTATATTTCTATGATTTTTATAATTGAGAAAGTTAATTTATACGCATTTATAAATAAAAAGGTAAAATGATTCTCACTAACAATTGATGGAATTATGGTATAATTAACCTTTCTAATATTTACTTCTGTTAAAAATAAATTGATCAAAATTTTGAAACCATTGTTTAAAATATTGATCCCATTGAATCAATTGAAAAGAAAGTGTGCATTGGTTCAAAAAGGGAAAGGCAATGGAGAATTGCATCACTCAAGTAGTTTTATATCACAAATTTGTATCCATTTTTTTTTTTAATTTCAATTAATTCGATTTGAATTCATCATACATTTTATGAAGGCCGTCTGTTGATTTAATTGAATTTTTAATGTATTTTAATACGCACACAACACTACTTTAATTATTTTTTTTTTGCAATAACAGTTGTCCATTAGATATTTGTTGACTTATTGTTTTAATATAAATAAATAATCACATATTTTTTCTTGGGATTTAAAGTTGTGTGTCATATGTGAGTTACGACATTTATGGAGTAAATTATCATAAATGTCATAAGCAAAAAAAAAAATTGTGAGTAACCGAATAACATATAAGGTATAAATAAATAATTACATTTTGAAGCAAAATCAAAATAATTGTCATAATTAATATCATAATGAGTCATAACTAATATCACAATATATATAATTAAGTCATAATAATATATGCCCAAAAAGGAGGTGTGTATTATGGAATTTTTATTTCTTGCAAGTATTCATATTTTTTTAGTATAGCTATACAAACAAAATTTGTATTCATAAAACTCATACCGAATGATATCTCATTTATAGTTATTCATCAAAATACCCATCATTTTGGTATATAATTGCAAAAATATCATTACCATATCATTTTGATCTTAAATTTTATATGAAAATTATGAATGTATATTATTTTTCTATTTTTATTTTTTATTTTTTATTTTTCAGTTCAACTATGAACATAATTGATAGTGTTGATACAAACAGCCGATTTGGATCGGGATCAAATCCAACTCGTGCTCTTGCTATTCCTGTTATTAATCAGCAAAATATGTAATGTTGTCGAGGACAATTGTAAAACTATATATATATATATATATTTTATTAGAAAAATGTTAATATATTAAGTTTGTTGTTGTTGTTGTTGTTGTTTTTTTTTTATTATTATTTTTTATTTTTATGTATGATGTGAGAATTAGTATCTAAAATTTAAGAAAATGTTGAAAAGTCCAATCTAACAATTGCATAAGGTGTTAGATCTAATGAATATTTTTTATCGTGAAAAGTTCACACTTTGTGAAATAGTTTGGTGATCGTAAATTTTGTTATTTTGGAGAACATTTTATTATCTAATTTTACCCCTTAACATGTCTGTTTAATTTTTTTATCTGCTTAGATTTTTCAGACTTATTTGTTTAAATTTATATCTATCTGTTCAGTTTTTTTCCCTATTTGTTCAAATTTTATTTAGACAATTTTTTATCTGTTAATTTTTTTATCTGTTAAATTAGTAATTCAATTTTTTAATTTTTTTTTATTTATAAAACAAATCAGATACTCGAATTTCAAGAGAGGATTTCAAGATCTGATCTGTTGAAACATTTTCACCAGCCCTAACCCCGTCACTCCTCATCGAAACGTTTCAAGATCTGATATGATCTTCTTTTTCTTCCTTGCAATTTGATAGTCATATCTGCGACCGCGCGCGCACGCGCACACACACACAGATTGCTTTCCTTTAAATGGTGTAATTATATAACAATTATTAGATTTGAAGAGTCTGTTAGTCAGGTAAATGAAGACAAATAGAGGATGCTGATAATAGAAATTAGAGTACATAGAATCTTTTTATTTTTAGTATTATGTATATAATCTGTGATTGTGTCAATCACTGATTTAGTATTGTTTCCTTATTTATATCGTTTCCTAAATTGTATCATGAATCTATTATATATACATGACCTCTACCTCATTCATGGATTAGCCAAATAATTCTTTTCATTCTTTTTGGTATCAGAGCTGGGTTAAGTACCTAGTAATTTTGCTTCACCGGTGAGCAACAACCTTGCCTTCGCCCCCCGTCGGACCTCAACCCATTCTACTGCCATATTTTATTTCAGTATCACTTCATGGTGATCTCTTTTGCTATCCACTAGCTTATTTCTATCCCAAATACGAATAAAGCCTTAGGCTCATACAAAATAAATACAACAATAACAAAAAAAAAAAAAAACTCTTTGCTCCAAGCCCTCCCAAGCTACTACCTTGGCAGAGGTATATCATCAGCATCTGAAAATGGTTTTCCACATAGGGTAGCCAAAGCCCAGTAAAGATACTTTAACACAGTGTATGAATCTTAATAGAGTTATAAGGTGAATGCATATGCAATGTTCATGCCAAAAACAAATATCTCTTTCGAAAAAAAAACTCTAATGCCAAGTTATATCACAATTCATGAAATCACTTTCTTTACAATAGAAAACAGGGTAGTAGACACAACCCTAGGAATTTCTAGGATGTGTCTGTAAGTAGGCTACAATCACTACTAATTGCGATTTTTACCAGAACTAACCGGAAGGCTCGGCACCGATCCGCGCGGGTTTCTGGACTTTCACCAAGCACACATAGGCCAACTTAATACCACAATTACACTCCCTACCCAGATTCACCA